GGTGAGGATTCATACACACTGAGTGATTTGAGAGTACCACAAAAGAAGAAGGTAAGCTATGTTCTGTTTCCAAAAATCTTGCAAAAATTTCCAATTGACTTGACTAAAAGAAGATGGTGATCTATTTCAAGCTATTCCATTCTTCAACTGCTAAAAGTTTCATGGTAGACACTTTGAATCCTGCAAAACAAATATGACTGGGAATAGTTTTATGTTGATGTCTTGTCTCAAGGTTATGTCTAAAGTAATCCAACATTTTATCGAGGACGAGTAAAAGCCTAAGTGTGGGAGAACTTGTTGATAGTCGTTAACACTCATTATTAACCGTCAATATACCCTACATATATGATTAAAATGGATCACCAACATAGGTATAGTGTTTTAAACTAACGAATTCCATAAGTCTTGGTGAATATTTGCATGTAGGTGAATTTAGCCATTTTACTGGCCAAATTGGGCCATAATGCGTGAAGAAATATTAATGATCCGCGACGGGCTCAACCAAAAAGGGCTTCAAGATAATTATTCAAGAATTACTACAAAAGATCAAGGTGAGCCGGTGACAAGTGGGGCCGACCGACACCACCCCTAGGTTGGCCGGCCTGTGGGCCTTTCCTGTTAGCCTCCGCCTCGACGTGGAATCTCCACCGCCTCTGAGGATCGATCTCCACCGTGTACGAAGGTTGTTGAGTCCTTTGTAGTCCACCTCCCGTCTGTAGGCCAAGTAGGACCCAGTTGCGACGGAAAGAGCATACTCTGTTTGTGCTTTTCCTTAGTAATGTCCCTAGGTGAACAGTAGAACACATAGTTTACTTAAGTTAGAAATAAAGAAACTTAGTAGTCCTCTCTACACTCCTGTTTATCCTAAGCCATGTTGCTATCCCTGGTTAAGTTAGACTTAGTTAAACTCAGACGTTTCCCTGAGTTCGATATCCTGAAATACTTCCGGTGAAAGGCTACAATTGATATCCGTGCGCTTGAGGATCTTTTCTACGTGCCCCCACAGGTGTCAACAAGCTTTTCTGGTGCCATTGCTAGGAAAATAGTTGCTGTGTTAACTTCGAACCTAATTTAACCTTGTATTCTTGTAACAATTGATATGTATTAACTTATGACTTATAACTTATACATAAAAGTTATGAAACCCAACTTATATACAAAAGTTATTAAACACAAAGGAACGAATTAACTTATAACTTATGCAAAAAATTTGAAAACACAATGGAATGAATTAACTTATAACTTATGCCAAAACTTGGAAACTTAAAAGTTATAAAAACACACCTTATATACTCTTATAACTTATGCCAAAACTTAGAAACTTAAAAGTTATGAAAACACACCTTATATACTAAAGTTATGAAACACAACTTGTGTTCATAAGTTATTCTACAATTTATGTAGGTAAGTGATTCTATACAACTTGTCAACGCTACCTAACAAGTTCTGCTAAAAACTTGTGCTAATAAGTTTTGTTCTGCAAAATGTTATATTGTAAAAGTTGTGATAATAAGTTATGCATAAAAATTATGTGTATGCTCGCAAAAAAGAGGAAAGTTATGTATATAACTTAGATATATAACTTGATGAATGACTTAGATGTAAAGTTGGTCGTACAAGTTATATATTCAAGAAAACTTAGATGTACAATATTAGCAGAAATGTAAAACTGTATATGAAATAACTTGTATAAAAAATAAAAAGGTAAAAGAAAAAAAGTAGAAAATAAAAAAGGAGAAAGATAGATGCCCCTACAGTTAATAACATGCCGGCACGTGTCCAACTCGAACGTGCCAGCTCTACGTAATTCAGCCTGTTCGTTTATTGGTTTTTGTCAGGACTTATCAGTCAGCCAACAGTGTTTTTCTCTCACAACATACTAGCACCAGTCGAGCTTATCAGCCCAGAAACCAACCAGCAATCAGGCCGATTGAATCAAGCGAGGGAGAGCCGCAGGCGAGGAAGCCTCCGTACGGCTGGACGCACCCGTGTCGAATTGTTCGCTGAACTAGGAACGAATGAACGCTCGTGGAAATGGAATTTGGTGTACAATCACCGTTAAATGTGGCAAGTTATCAGATTCTAGACATCATTTTGAACGTTTGATTCCTTCTAATGCCAAGTATCATACATCCGTGATGGATCGTATAGGAGAGTGATTAGACTCAGGATCCACCCAATTTTCTTCCAGTCCAGAAAGCAAACATGCCCTTAGAGCTCCCCAGGTTGACGTTAGTATTATATATACTCCGTACATTTCAAATTATAAGTTATTCTATTTTTTTACTTAATTAAATATGATTTTCATGACTGATCTTCACGACATCTGTATTCCTTGCCTAAATCTTTGCTAGCGTTCGATTCCATGCTTCACAAGTCATCACATCTAGATGCCCCCTGGTCTTTTTGTAATTAAAAGCTGGAAGATGACAGCAAAGCAGTGTGGTTTCTTCTCTAGGATGTTGTCCCCTTAGAAGGGCGATTATTCATCTGTTTACTTAATTTTTGCATTTAATTACCCACCTTCCATTATGATAGAGAATCCATATAACCCTTTAAATTACATCTAAATTATCACTATTGTCATTATTAAAAAAAACTCAAATTTCTCATGAAATCTGCATATAAGTTACTAACGTCTTCTATTACAAAACAAGTGCTTAAATAGCATAAAGTACAGATTATACATGTTTCTACATCACCCACTTCTATTAATATTAATATATTAAAAACTATTTAAATTAAATATAAATGTTGTGCCATCATATAGTTCAAGGACACATCCATGTATGAGCGACAATGTTTCAGCAATCATGAAAAATATTTCCTCAATGACTCATATATTAATAATTCTAACAAATTAATTAAGACTATATTGTTAACCATAACATATAATTTATATAAATTATTACTTTAGATAAATCATACATAATAACTAAAATTGGTGTATCTTTATTGATAGTATAACCATAAGAACTCTATATATGTTTATAATAGAGAAATAAGAGTATTACTACACATAATTTTTTGATAAGAAAATTAAAATATTTTGAGAAGTGGTGGACGTTAGTGTTGACCAAGATTGGCTATATCTATCCAGTATTTTTAGATTCCATTGGAGTTAAGAAGTGATTATAAGGCTTAAATATTAATATTTATTGAGGTTAACATCACTATTCACAGCAGTGCCGCGTAAAATGCGGCAGTGCCGCACCTGTACTGAGAACGGCGATCGAGTTTATTTTGAACAGGTCTATTCACCTCTCTCTAGGCGTAGCAAGATTCTTTGCAGGTTCACTGTTTGGCAGTTAGAGTAGTTGGACTGGGGCCCACGGTGAACGAGGCAAGCAAACAAAATCTAAGCCCAGCATGTTCACCTGAGTCACTTGAATCAAACAAGCCTTGGGGACACACCCATGCCGTCCATCCAGGAGGTGGTTCATCCCTTAGAACCTATTTTGGTGAAGAATATCCTGTATTCTTCCAATCTCCCTCTGTCCCTTAGAAATAATCACCCTGTTTGCTTCAACTTATCGGCCCCGCTTATCAGTTATGATACAATATTTTTTTTCTCTCACAGCAAAACAGCATCAGTTGGCTTATCAGTGGCAGAAACCATCAGCCGAACAACCCGAATATTCCTAAACCTTACGTAGCTTCATTTGATAATGTTTCAGATATATTCAAACTTCAGAGTACCATGGATTGGCGATGGTGGTGAAGCGCATGTCAATAGAGGTTTTCGTGTGCAATTCAGTCAAGTGTTAGGTCCCCGTGTGTAATACTAGTGTAGAATTCACGGTGATGGCACTTTGCCAAGCGATGCGATCGCCAGCTTCTGCGTTACCACGCCGTCGCACGTGCGCTAGGAGATTATGGTATCGACACAGACGGTGTTGACACCTCAAAATTCCAAAGTGCATAATGGACTCTGCCATCATGTTTCTGTCATCAAGGCGGTCAGAAAGCATATTTGGATCATCAGATTTGGAGCCCGGACGAAGAAAACAACTTTTCAGGGGTTGACCTAGTCGAAACCAGCCAAACCAGTTTTCTCAACTTTCTCGAATGCAAGAATGGATTGCACCATTTCATTCCTCTTGTCGAGTTGATCGAAAAACATATATAAATCGTCACATTTGAAGTCCGGATTAATTAGTTATAATTTTTGGAAGGTTTTTGCGCTGGACACGCAGTAGAACCGGCCAGGACGGTTTTGATGGGCCAGTTCGGATCTAATTCACGTTTTGACACGCAGTAGAAGAATGGCCACTTAACTTTCTCATATCTCATATGCTTTTTCAAAATCTATTTTAAGATGACCCCATTGCGTTTTTTATGGTGCAATTTGTGTATGATTTCATACAAATTAACCACACCTTCTATGATGTAATGTCCTCGCATGAAAGCTGTTTGTGTCAGACTAAGAGGATGTTTGGATTTAGGGGCTAAAGTTTAGTCCATGTCACAGGAGCTAAACATAAGCCAATTAAAAAAACTAATTGTACAGGAGTAGACTAATTAACGAGATAAATCTATTAAGCCTAATTAATCAATCATTAGCAAATGTTTACTGTAGTACCATATTGTCAAATCATGGACTAATTAGACTTAATAAATTCGTTTCGCAAATTAGCCCCATCTGGTAATTAGTTTTATAATTAGCCTATATTTAATATTCCTAATTGGTATTCTAAGATTCGACGTGACAAGACTAAATTTTAGTCCGAGGGAAACAAACACCCCCTAATAATAATATGATCTGCCACCGAATTAATTCTACACGTGACCACCTTAGTGAAAATTTTGAAGCTGACATTGAGTAAGTATATTGGTCTATATTGTTGGATCGGTTTGTTTCTTGGATCTTCGGAACGAGAGTTATGACCCTAAAGTTAAGGCTAAAAGGTGATAAATTTCCGGCATGAATGTTTCAAAACATGCTCATGAAGTCTTTTGATGACATCCCAAAGCTATGAGTACCACCTTGTACAATTAAGTTACTGTTTTTTGTTGGAGAGCATAGTTTTGAAGATTCCAACGAGCACGCCGACGATGGAGAAGAGGGTGGCGATGGTCATGGCCTTGTAGCCGTTGTAGAGGTGGCGGTGGATGAAGATGAGCACCGAGCAGCGCCGCCTGTAGGAGTAGATGGCTTCCAAGATGGAGAAATAGCGGTCGCCGAAGCGCAGGTGCTGGGCGAGCCCCTTGAAGAAGTGCAGCGCCTGCTTGTCGCTGAAGGTGCTGTACAGCAGCTTCTTGGCTCGCAGCTTCTGCACGTCCTCTTCCCTGTCCATGAGCATCGCCAGCACCGACAGGTACGAGCTCACGGTGTAGCCGTCGGACTCCATGCTCGCGCCCGAGGTGCTCGCCTCCAGCGCCGCGATGTTCACCAGCCAGCACGCGGTGATGTCGTTCAGGAACACCGGCGACAGGGACAGCTTGCCGAATAGGCGGCGCCGGTACTGGAAGCTCATGTCCCCGAACCATGGCTTGGTGCTCGGTGTCAGCTTGACGCCGATCTCCGCGAGCTCCGCGGCGCTGCTGGACTTGAGTGACGACACGATGCCCTTGTAGTTCTTCACGTTCGCGGGCATGCTGCCGATCTGAGTGTACCAGAGCAGGCCAAGGAGATGCGGCGGCGTGTAGTCGTCGGCATCGCTGCCAATGTTGACCCCGCGGTCTCGTTGGCCAGGAGGGCCTCTTTCGTCGGGCATCGGGGTGGATCCGCAATGCATCCAGCACCGGACTTCCTCCTTCCCCTTTCCAGGTTGAAACTTCTCCTGCATTCCGCTGACAAACCTTCGCACATCGACGTTCATGAACTCCGTGAGCACCTCCAGCACCAGCCAGGGGATCTGGTTCTCGAGCAGGAAGATGTCCCTCTGGATGCTGGGCCCCGTGGAGAGCGTCATCCGGTTCTGCAGCACGGGCTCGTCCCCGCCGCCGAGCATGTACTGCAGCAGGAAGCAGCCGTCGAGGAGCATCATGGTCGCGAAGTCGGCGTCGCTGAGGCCCACCAGCGACGGGTCATCGGCGTCGTAACATCCACGGGCATCTCCGACGACGGACAAGATCTTCTCGTAGACCTCCATGGAAGTGGAGCGACTTGAGTGTTTGCAAAGGTGGTAGGCCGCGGCGAGCTTGACCTCCTCCATCTTCTGCAAGTGCGGCGAGCCATGGTGGTACGGGCCGATGGCCACCACGCTCGGCACGATGTAGCGGTCGCTGTCGCCGCCGATCCCCTGGAGGCCGCGGGGGAACCGGTGGATCTTGGTGTCCACCTTGGAGAACTGAGCCTTGAGCCTCTCGTTCGCCGTCGCCGTCCTCTCGTCGATGGCGAGAACTATTTCATGGGTTGCGTCATCACGGACGAGGATTGTTTTTGTGCCTGCGTTGCTACTGGCGTCCATGGCGCCAAACACCGCTCTGGTAGTAGTTATTTTCAAAGTTTCACATGTCATGTTCGTAGAGCTTCAGCTTATATATATGGTTCTTCACTCATCAGAATCATGATTGGCAAATAAAACTGATCGATCCTTTATCCAGAAAGATCGATCCCTTGCTCAAACCGTTTCCAACATCTAGTTCCAAGCTTCATGTTAACGCGCGTCGCATCTACATGCCCCAGTACTCTTTGTTTAAGCTTCATGATCGGCAAAAACATATAAATGAATTTATTGAACATGCAATTGTCAGATCAATCCTGAATCAGATGTCAGATGATTAATCGCCTTTCTAGGGGGGGGGGGGGGAGGGAACCTGCTGAAGAAGAAACAAAACTACCTTTTGTCATCTTCCAGCCATAACAAAAAGACCAGAGCCTAGAATGAAAGCTTGGAATCAAATGCTATATCAAAGATTGGGCAAGGAATAAGGATAAAGTCATAAAGATCAGTTTTGTCCGTCAAGTTTAATTTATAATAAAGGGTACAGGCCTGGTCCACAGATGGTCTTTTGCAGAGGAATCAAACTCACTTTATCCTTGGCGTGAACTGCAATTCTAGTCATGCATATGCTTGTATAACCAGCTCTAAAATATCAAGAAAAATCAAACTAGATTATGGCCTTCTCAATTTTTAAGGAAAATTGGTCTATTAACACACGTGCACCTATATGGGATCGCTGTATATTTTATTTATAAGTTAATGTATAATAGACAACATTAAATTACTACTGCTTCGCCGGACAAATTAAACGTGCATGTATTACCTACATTTATTTTGTATACTAGCCCACCAACTCGTACTCTCCCTGATATATTCTAGAATCTTATGTTGCATAAGTATTAAAAGTTTTATGGATAAATTTAGTATGCGCAGCTAATCAAAATGATTATCTTTACTCTCTCGTTATTCTTTTCGTAACATAATATCCATTTAGATAGTATATAATATCTATCTTGCTGTGACAAATGTACCAGTTACTCCATATATGTTTGCATAATTTGCAATTCACCTTTACGGGGGTTTAATTTGTATTTAGTTGAAACCTTAGCTTAAGTTCAAACACTAGTTCTTATGTATCTTTTATTCAAAATTTTCGCTTTTTACATAAATTATAGGTTTATAAACTCCACCTACTCTTAGTTACTAAAATAGTATAACCAGTCATTATAGTTTGCACCATTGCACTCAAGACATTCATCCTCTATGAAAAGAATTATATATATATGTAGTAGTATGTTTTAACAAAAGCTAGAGTGCTTAAATTAAACTACCATTATTGGTATATATGCTAAAATGTATAAACTAATCTAAAGTAACAACTAAAAAAATGTCACATAGAGTTTTAATATAATTGAGCATGAACTTCGATTGCTACATGCTAGTAACAAGGTCAGGAATGTGTATATGTTACAAAAAGACTAGTGCAGCCTGTAGATGCGACGGGTTAACATGAAGCTTGGAACATATGTTGGCAACAATTTGAGCAAGGGATCTGGGTAAAAGATCAGACTTTCCAAAGTATAACTAAGAACCAAGCGCACCCCAAAGCATATATATATTCTCTGCGCTATAATACAGTGTGTGCAAGCATTAAAAAATCATACCCAAATATAAGGGATTCTAGGGACAAAACAGTTTTGCATTAAATAGTTACATAAATTTGATAGGTATCATATTGTTACTTGTCATCTATCAACCAATTACCATTAATTATATATTGATGATAGCGTCTGATTATGAAATAAAGTGAGAGTACACGTGTCTGTCCTAAAATCTTTAGAATACATTATATTACAGGACGAATGGAGTAAGCTCTACGTGTATGACACCATGAAATGACCATTACCACTATATTTCACTCCTGGTCGGAACACTATTATTAGCATATACGGGAGAATGGCAAACCTTGAGGTTGAGAAAATTCCTTTTTTGCTACCAAAGACGAGCATACATATATAGGTGCACATACACCCGTGTAAGGGCATAGGAGAGACCAGACTGATAAATCTTGACAAAATCACAAAATATAGTGCCTCATAATCGATGGACACGTTTTTGTGACTAAAGGAATAATCAGCTATAAGTGCAGCACCCACACACAGAGTCAGGGACTTGAAACTGGATAGATAGGTTACAGCATCTCCAACAGAGAAACTAAATAGGACCTCTACTCTACTTTTTGGTGTCGCAGAAAAAACTTAATCCAAGAGGGCTCTAAATCAATTTCCTACTTTATGGAGACGTCCAAATCTCCCCCTCAGCCTTATCTTCGTGGGGGGTGCTACTAGATAGTTCTCTATTTACTTTTAGGATTTTTTGCACCAACTTACTCCCACATGTTTTTCCCATCTAGACTCGATCTTTCCCACCCCGTCGCCCTATTCTCCTCCCCTAGCAGAGCCCCTCAGCCCGATGCATCTTGGCGCACTATTTCACTCACTAGTAGAGAAACGACCTTTGATCCCACCTCGAAATTTGGCTTTAGTCCCGGTATTTTTCACGTCCGGGACTAGAGAGACCTTTAGTCCCGGTTGTTAGCTCCAACCGGGACTAAAGGTCCCTGCCCAACGGCTACTGCGGCAGGCTTTTGCTACAGGGGACCTTTAGTCCCGGTTGGAGCTACCAACCGGGACTAAAGGTTAACTTTTACTCCCGGTTGCTCCCTCCAACCGGAAGTAAAAGTCTACTCCCGGCTGGAGGCTCCGTCCGGGACTAGAAAGGGACATTTAGTCCCGGTTGCTGTCTTCAACCGGGACTACAATCCCCCTCCTATATAGCCCTTCTTCCACCCCGAGCCCGAGCCACTTCGAGCTCAGTGTTTTCTTGCTTCATCGCCGATAATCACAAGATTTTCTTCGATTCCTCCATCGATTCTTCGGTTATAAAGGTTACCAACTTTATACTCTCATGTTTCATCAGTAACATATCTTATTTTGTGGATTAGATATATGTGGTTTTTTTATGGTGGAAGTTTTTTATTTGTAAGCCATTTAAGCTCAAAATCACTTTAAAGTTTGCATATTTGGATGAAGGAAGGTTAAAGTTGTTATTCAAAACTAGTTTTCAGCTTTCATTTCTAGCATGCATAGCAAACTTTATGGTTTAGAGATATAGAGAATTTTAGAGTTTTTTTAATTTTATTTGTTTATAAAATGAGAAATTTATATTATATTAAAAATGAGTATAGAGAGTAGATGGCAACAGCTTCTGGGTCCTCGGCCTCTCATCGGGTTCCAAAGCGACTGAAGCCGGACCTCCCTCTCATTGCATGCGGCAAGTGTGAGGAGAAGATTGTGATGGAGTACCAGGTGAGGAAGGAGTGTCCCAACAAGGGCCGTATCTTCTACAAGTGTCCGGATCGCAATGTGAGTTATTTTATCGCATTTGATGATTATGGTTAATTTATACTTATTTTCATGATGATTGTGATTAAAGTTCTATTTTTTTGTTTTAATTTTAGTGGGATGGCACTGGATGTTCAGGCTGGTACTGGGAGGAAGAGTATGTTGAACACATGCAAAACTCTCTTGCACAGGCGGCTACGGTGGCTGATGAGGCAGTGATCCTGCGGTAGAAGCCCATAGACGTTGAACAAACGCATGATCTGTCTGTTTTAGTTGGGATTGGTCGCGAAATCCTTATGCTGCTGAAGTGCATTTTAGCTTTAGTTTTTTTACTGGTATTTGGGATTGTCTACATTATAGCGAGACTTTCATAAATTAATACCTTGTGTGGTGGCATGCATGTCGTATAATTAACTAATTATGTTCTAGGTTTTAATATGGTATGTATGTCATGTAATGCAGATGAGCCGACATTGGATGTACAATGCTGATCGCCGCTCCCAAGAGTTCATTGAGGGCGTGCATTCTTTCTTACGTGTGGCCGAGGCAAACAAACGCGATGGTTTCATGTGCTGCCCATGTGCCATATGTAAGAATTTGAAGGAATATGCTAGCTCAAGGAGTCTTCATTCACACTTGTTGAAGTCGGGTTTCATGCCAAACTATATTTGTTGGAGGAAGCACGGAGAAACCGGGGTTGTAATAGAAGAAGGTGAAGAAGAACAATGGGACGATGATGACATTATTGTTGAATATGGTGCCTTCAATGATACTGCAATGGGAGAAGCTGAAGAAGAGGTAGTGGCAGAAGATGAGCCCGCTGATGATCTTGGTCAGGCCATTCGTGACGCACAAAGAGAATGCAAAAGTGAAAAGGAGAAGATCAAGTTCGAGCGCATGCTAGAGGATCACAAGAAATTGCTATACCCAACTTGTGATGCGGGACAGAAAAAGTTGGGTACCACACTGGAATTGCTGCAATGAAAGGCAAAGAATGGTGTATCTGACAAGGGATTTGGAGAGTTACTGAAAATCCAAAAGAAGATGCTTCCGAAGGATAACGAATTGCCCGTCACTACGTACGAAGCAAAATAGGTAGTCTGCCCTTTGGGATTAGAAATCCAGAAGATACATGCATGTCCTAATGACTGCATCCTCTACCATGGCGAGGAGTACGAGAAGTTAGATGCATGTCCGGTATGTCATGCATCGCGGTATAAGATCAGGCGAGATGACCCTGGTGATGTTGAGGGCGAACGTCCCACAAAGAAAATCCCTGCCAAGATTATGTGGTATGCTCCTATAATACCACGCTTGAAACGTCTGTTCAGAAACAAAGACCATGCAAAGTTGTTGCGATGGCATAAAGAAGATCGTAAGGTAGACAATATGTTGAGACACCCTGCTGATGGGTCCCAGTTACTCTATGTATCTACAACTTTTCTCCCTGGTTATGCATGAAGCGTAAGTTTATTATGATGCCAGTGCTCATCCAAGGCCCAAGGCAACCTGGCAACGACATCGATGTGTACCTGAGGCCACTAGTTGAAGAACTTCTACTTTTGTGGAACAGACCAAGTGTACGTGTGTGGGATGAGCACAAACAGGAGCACTTTGACC